CCAGAAGACTGTTGAGCCGCAGCGTGCTCACCCGAAGCCTGTTCAGCCGCAGCTTGCTCACCCGAAGCCTGTTCACCTGCAGCGTGCTCACCCGAAGGCTGTTCACCCGCAGCGTGCTCACCCGAAGGCTGTTCACCTGCAGCGTGCTCACCCGAAGGCTGTTCACTTGCAGCATGCTCACCTGAAGGCTGTTCATCTGCAGTGTGGTCAGCCGAAGTATGTTCACCGGCATCATGTTCTCCAGAAGTGTGCTCACTTAAAGTGTTCCCTCTTGAAGAAGTCTCATATAAAGCCTCAGCATCTGAAGGGTTTGCAAGTGAAAAGTACTCTCCTGAAAGTTGTTGAACTGAAGCATGATGATCCATAGAGCCAGGAGGTTCATCAGGGTGACCTGATGTTCCTGGAATGGAGAAGGAACAGAAGAGAGATGGCAAAAGTGAGAGAGAAAATGGGATAAAAGACTACTTTCCTATGGAGTGAGGCTAATGTTGTGAGACTCCTAGGTTTTCTATGGGCCTAGATCAGGCACCTGAAGATAGTGCTGCTGTTGGGGGAAGTCAGCTAAGTACCCTAAGAGACCACCTCTGGGATTGAAGGGAAGAATTTTAAGATCCACAATATTAAGAACTGCACAGGGGTACCCACTCGTTCATGAACCAGAAGTGCCTGAAGGGAAATGAATGTGTCTCCTTGACAAAGTCAGCCTCAGCAAATCTGATGTAATTAGAAGTCCACCACCAACTTTCCCTGTCATTCCTCTATGGGTGAAAGGCAAAAAGAATGGAGATGGAAGAGAGACAGAGAGAAAGCAAGTAGTTTTCAATACCTGAGTAATTCTAGCCTAAGTTAGGGGTGGAAGATTCAAACTTTCAAACAAGATCAACTGATGACAAATATCTAATGAGCTCACAAAAATTATCAGAAGGGATTAAGGCACCTTTCTTTATTTGGTAAGGTTAAGTTTTTTCTCACACTCAATCCCTAATCCATGTGGTTGGGGACTCAGAAAGCAAAGTTGGTATAAATAATATAAAAAATTCTTGGCCTATCTCATATCTCTGAATTGAGACTCCTTGCAACATACCATTTACACCTACTTCGTGGAGTTGTCATGAGTATTTAATAAGATAAATTGTGAAGTGCATCAGTGCTTAGGTACCCAATTAGTTTTCTCTACCTTACACTGGGAATTACCAAATTCTTAAATGGTGGTTCTCTTCTGGCCGGTCTCTTTTACCTCTAATGCACCTCATTAATGACTGCCAGACAAATATTCCTTAAGTATAACTTTCATTTTAATTGAATGGAAGCACCAAACAGACAATTTGATTAGATGGAGCTGCCTAGAGGAGAAGTAGATTACAATAACCGAGCTATTAATCCTAGCCAAAAGCTGAGAGGAATTACAGGATCTTTGAGGCTTAGGCAGTCTAAGGCCCCAGAGTACTCAAGTTCTGGAAGAATCCTGCAATAGACACATATTCTGGGAGCTTTGCAGTACTTACAATCAATGACTTTCTGTAAGACTAGGGTTAGAATATGTTGATAAAGGAAAGGTAAGATTTAGTAAGGCTTTCAGGAGGTTTTTATTTTAAAAACTTATTACTTGATTGATTCTTTAGTAGTTAACAGAAGTTTTATTAAGGAGATGTTTCTGATATAGAAGGGGGGCTTGAAAAAGCACACTAAATTTTAGTCATTCTTACAGTTTATGACTCATTGCTTCACCATGTGCCTGGCACATACTACCATCTGGTGGCTGTGTAGCTACATTTCTGAGTCAACTTTTCAAAGTCCAACAAAGGAAAAAGCAAAATCTCTGACAGCTGACATTAAAGAAAATACATTGTCATTTTACTAACAGCTCAGACCTCATGGCCTCTCTCTTCTGTGGGAGGCAGGAGGGAACACAGCCCACCATGAATGGGGGATCCTGAAAGAGGAGATACAGACAACTGGATGGATAGAACACAGCCATAAAGGAGAGGCTTGTAAGGTCCCTGGCCTATATCACTGCCATGTTCTGAGGTGGCTTTCTGGGCAAGTCACATTCTCATGTCCTTCTATCTTTCCTTGGTAAATTAACTACATAAGGAGCCTTTACACTCAATTGGTAGGGACAGACCTTCATTTGGACTTCTACAGAACCAGTAGGCCTATCCTCACATCTCCCAGAGTATCAGGTACAAATGTTGAGTGGTTAAAAGAAGTAGGAATAAGACTATGCCAGGCCAGTGGGCCCCTCCGACTGTAAAGCCATAATTAGGAGAAATCAACTGGTTTAGGAGCTCTCAGAGTTGGATTTGTTTAGCTACTCTTGATTCTGAGTCAGATTTGTTTGGGTAACTAAGAGACTGGTCTTCCTTCTTCAACGTCTGAAACACCTTAAAGAAGGCCTGTTATGTATCTACCCAAAGCCTAGATAAGACTCACCTCTGGCAGACCCGAGCAGGCAAAGACTCATTAGTAAGACAAACTTGTTCATCTGGATTTAGAGAAAGAAGGGACCCTAGTGTGGGGACCCCAAGAGCAGTGAAGAAAACTGTGAGCAGAAGCTCCCAATGCTGAGTCAGAGCTCTGGGAATTCTAGAACCTCAGAGACAAACCATGTTTCCTCACAATGGGTTGTGCTCTGAGGTCCTCATGTAGCCTGTTCAGGCAGGTTGGCCCTTAGCAACCCATGACTTATTCCACTAGTGAAGGCTAATGAGTATTTTCTATGTGCAGGGTGGTATGTTAGGGCTATCTGCCCTATCTTAAAAAAAAAAAAAGTATTACTAAAATAACACTCTTTATAATAAAGTTTAAAAGATATCTATTCTCTTTTTAAGGTGTTCTTGACAATGAGATGTGATTGACTGGTTATTTTGTGTTTGGCTGTCTAAATCAACCTTTGACTGGAGGGGAGAAGAGAGACGCAGGGAAAGATATTTTTCCTATCCCCCTCCTGCCACAGTTGGCACTGACCAGGTCTTTACATGACAAAGCTTCTGTTAGTTGTCCTCTCTTCCATGGCTCCAGCTCTCTACCAGGCTATGGTAACATGTTTTCCTCCCCTGCCCCTTAGGCCTAGGGATGATAATGGTTTCCTGCTGTGCTAATACTGTGCTAATACTCCAACTTTCCTTTTCTTTCTTCTTTTTTTGTTAAGGATGCCCACTTCTATAAATAGTCTTTCCATATAGACCTTTATCAATCATGGTTTTGGTAGGAAACAGGTGGCAAACTGGAACAAATGATACACAGGTATCAGCAGAGTAAAGGGATCAAAAAAGGCTGGAGGAAAGCTGTATGTTGAGCTGTAACTTCTACCAAGGGGGCAGCCAAGCTGAGAAGATGCATACCCGGTATAGAGCCAGAACTCTTGGGGGATTGGGTGGCAAAGATCCTTAGCCCCCATCTCTTTCTTCTTCTCTGCCCAGTTCTCTTGGACTATTTTGTTACATATGCCACTGAATGCTAGATCTAGAATAGATGTATTTGTCACTGTTATAATTGTTTGTTTCATGTTTATATCTCCTATTGGACTCTAAGCTCCTTGAAAAGCAAGGATCCTGTCTTTTTTTTTTTTTTAATCTCAGAGATCCTATCTTTCTCGATTACTATTGTAACTCTAGTACCTAGCAGCATGCTTTCCACATGATAGGCTCTTATAAACCTTACCTGAATGAAAGAATGAATGAATTGCCTTTTTTGGGCCTTTCTCTGCCTCATGGAGGAGAATCTATAGAGAGTCCCTAGAGTGGGCTGGCTTAAGGCTCTGGATCAATTGAAAACTGGATCACCAGGGGTCAAAAGTTACTTGGCTTGAGTTGGAGGATAGAACTAGGATTTCTGAACCTCAGGCTGGGCTCCTTTGGAATAGAGAAAGACATGAAAGAGCATGTTATTAATAGTTCCTTTCGTCCATGGAGAGCGAGTTTAGAGGAACAGCTACGAGATCACGTTGGTCAGACTTTTGTCGATATAAGCTGCGGGGAGGTAGCTAAACTCCCAGCAAAAAACCGGGTCCCTTTGGTAGAGTTGCAAGGGATAAGAAAATAATAGCGAAAAATGGAAAATGGAAGAAATAAAAGAATACATAGAGACAAAGATATAGTTTTATAAGTTTATAAAGATAGGCAAAGTGGAATTTCAGGGGGCTTAGACCTTCTCCGTGGGTCTCAAAAAGCCCGGAATGAGGTCTTACATGGTAACTTATAGGGAATAGTGAATAATTGCCAGGGGTAACAGATTTACATAACAGCAGGTAGTTCCTCTTAGATTAACAGATTTTCAAAAGCTTCTACAGAAGGCTTCTACAGATTCTTTAACTAATTCTATCTACGTGAGCAAACGGTTACAAAATCTTTCAAAGGTTAACTTCTAAGTTCTAAGGTACGTTTATCATTTAACAGAGGGGTTAAACAGAGATATGTTGGCTCCATGTTTATTAGGTTATTGTGAATGGAGACAGGTAGTCCAGAGTGGTTTAAACAAGAGCTTTGCTCTTAGCCATTCGGGCAGCTGTCTGTTCTGTTCCGGGGGCACTCCATTGTCAGCTCTCAGCCTGTAGTTTTTAACAGATTCACTTGTGCTTTACAAAGCAAATCCAAACCTTTAGGTCTGAGAAATGCGGCGCCTTGTGGGATACAGCCGCTACTGTCTTTCAGAGACGCCCTTCCGAGTGTAATAGCATTTGAAATGCAAACCAACACGTTCACATATTCCTTCAGGGCAAAGCTCTGCAAAACTCCTAAGACAAATCCTGTCCCCAAACACGTTTGATATTAATTCATGGAGCGACAATAAGCGATAGAAATTAGTGGAAAGGAAGAAGTGCGATCTATCCCGCCCACCAGTTATTTTGTTGGCAGCACCTCTCTTTAGAATTACCAGAACTTTCTGAAACATCCCTGCCTCCCTTCTGTCTTTCCTCCCTCTTTTCTTGAGATTTGCTTTAGAGGACTGTATCCCAATTTCACCCAAGCTGGTTTTCCCTGGGCTTTATCGTGGAAACTTTCTCCCTGTGCCCAGCAGTCTGGCCCATCAAAGCCAAACTTGTGAGCATCTGAGCACACCATATATAAGAAGACGTGGTGATGGAGAATTCATTCTGGGAGTTGAAGAGTTCTTAGCCAAGACATCCAGAGGCATTCCATCCTTGCCTCCTTCCTCTGC